ACACAGTGAGAAAATGATTTCTGACAATTTGCTTATCCAGCAGTTTAACTGACACTGATGAAAGACACGACAAAATTAAGTTACTTAAAACAAAGTAAACTGGATTTTATACATAAAGTTTAAAAGTTATTCAATCTAAGGAAAACTACAAATAGCTTCACTTCTAACTTAGATAAAGGAAAATCTCAAAAGTGTGTGCAAACAGCGTAGGTGATGTGAAGCCGGGGAGGTGACAGACAGGCTGAAGACTTCTCCAAGTCTGTAACCGAGCGGTTAAAACCCTCCGGCCCGGGTGCGGGCCCGGGGCACGGCCGGTGCTATGGAGTCCCCATGACACCGCAGCTCGCTGCCTCGCCCTCTCCAGTCAGAGGAGAGCACCCTAGGCAGCGCTGCTACCCTGCCACCGGCCTCCTGCCACTCTCGGGCTCCGGAGCGGCTGCTCTCTACCCCGCTCACGCGTCACCTCGACCGGGCTGCGGCTCAGGGGGGCACTGCGGCTGCCCAAGGTCACGTCGCCAGCACCGGGCCGGAGGACCAGGGGCTCCCCGCCGGGCCAGGCCCGATCGTTCCCCACGCAGCCCGGCCCGGCTCCCCCCACCCCCCGCAGCCCCTTCAGAGCCACCTGCCCCCTCCGGCGGCGGGGCCGGCCCCGGGGCTCCCCGCCAAGGGCGCCCGCCCCCTTCCGCGGCGGCCGGAGGAGGGCGTGAGGTGAGCCCGCCCGCTCTGCAGGCCTAGCTCCCCGGGCGGCCCGGGCGCCATCACGGGCCAGCGCGGTGCGCCAGTCTGTGTACTCACCGCCGCAGAGGACTCGCTGCCTCAGCCCGCCGGTCCGGGGCAAGCCCATGTCCGACCTCGGCTGCTGGGCAAACGCTAGGCGGCCATGACTGCTGAGGAGGAACTCGACGGCGCTCCTCCCTACCTCCCTCCCGAGCCACCGCCCCCCCGCGAGGGCGGGGATTCTTCGCGGCCCTATCCGTGCCGCGGGGCTGGGCTCGAGCCGAGGCAGGAGGTTGGCTCACAGCCGCTGTCCCGCGGCTTGTGTGAGGTGCGGCCGAGCGAGGACCCTTACCCCCCGCGGAGCTCCCTCGGAGGTGGGAGTGTCTCCGGGGTGGTGCGAAGAGAAGGGAGAGGCAGGGTGGCTCAGATGAGTACCACCCCGCTGGCTCCTTGGGGCCAACCCTGGAGGAGGCTCTCGGGGAGCGTGGGGTCGCCCCCAGCCTTACCGCCGCTGCCGCTACCCGGGCGCTCCGCAGGGCCGAGGCCGGCCTGGCCTGGCAGCACCACCTGGCCAGGTTCTTCGTTTTCGGGCGTTTTGTTACCGAGGCCAAGCCACAGAAAGCGGGCTCTGAGGTCTGTCGCATTTCACGGGACATCAGCGTTTGTATGCGGTGTTAAACTGGCCCTTCTACTGCAGCGCGAGATTTGGTGTGGGAAGGCGCGACGCCTCCCCTTATGAAAATATCCTTTCTGTTTGTAGAGAAAACTGCATTGACTGGGGAACATTGTAAGTTCAGATCTCGTTTTTTTTTTTTTTATTGACGTCTATGTTTTCTGTGCAGCTTGTGGTGTTACTACAAGCATCGTACCTCAGGGATGGCAGCAGTATAGTCATGCTGGCAGTTGGAACACCGGGAAAAGGGAGAGAAGAGGGTGGTGAGCCTGTTTCCAGTCAGTGCGGCAGGCTCTGCAATTGAGATCTCCTGAAAACAGAAAGATGCTCTGTCCCGCACAGTCCATCTGTCCCCTAACTGTCAATGTGGGGGATTCATTTAAGATACTTTAACTGGGCAGTGTTAGGTTTATGATTGGATTTGATGATCTTAAAGGTCTTTTTTCAACCTAAATGATTCTGGTACTTTAACCTCTTGCTCCATTTTGCCAATGGAAACTTGTGAATAGGAGCAGTTTCCCTTGATGACACTTTGGGAAACAAGGTCATAAAGCCAAAATGAGAAAGGTGTCTTCATGTAGCCTTCCAAAACACTAGTGATGCATTGCCCAGAAGTCCCAATTGTATTGCTGTACTTAATGGTACGGTAATGCTGTATTGTGTATGTGAAAGACTCAAACAATATCCTTCATCTCTAATTTGCAGTGATTAGAAGTGCTCAGACACGTAAAAGGTTCTGGGAGAAATGATGATAGCTCTAAGTCTTCTATATTGTGCAATCAGGGAGGTTAATACCAAAGGAAGTTGACAGACTCTTAACAACATTAAACTGAACTGAATAATACCACTAACACAATGCTCTTTTAAGGGCCTTTTTCAGAACTGCTCCATTTGTTTTAGCCAAGATGATGCACAGAAAGTTGTGAGGAGATGAAAAGAGTTAAGTCCATTGATGTCCAAGCTTGGACTCTAAGCGTGCAAATTAATGTGGAGTATCATATTAACTGCTCTCCAGACTGGACTCAGGGTGTCCCTTTTATTGTTTCTCTTCTATAAAGAAATTGTGTCATAAAATCTTTTGGTCTTACTCATATAGGCAAACTCCAACCATATATAGGAAGGTGTTGGAGAGCACCTGCCTGCACAGTGAGCTTTATCATATTAAATAACTTGTTAAAACATGCTAATGGTGATTGCGTTATGACATGCTGTGTTGTTGCCTTAGGTTAAACCATATTTTCTTATCAGCACGTTTGTTACTGCATCGCAGTACTGAATAAACAATTTTAAACAGCAGAAATCAGTGTGCTTTAAAATAGAATGTATTAGGTTATTTAATTAAAAAATATAAATGACTATAAAGTGGTATAAAATAAAGGAGAAGAAACCAGGTACTTTACAGATGTGAAACGTGTTTTGACTTGCCTATATAAGACATGAATGTCTCTTGGATGTACTTTTGACATATTCTGTCCAAAAGAAAACAAACATTAAACATGATTATTTTGAGGATGGAAGTTGTGAATGTAATAATGAAAACTCATCAACAGTGAGACTGGACTAAATGCAGACTGCCTTCTTCACCTCTACAAAAGATTTTCAATAATACAGAACATTTTGCTTCTCCATAGCACTGCAGCTAACATAAGGCATTCCTTCTTGTTGGTGCATACCTGTGAGGACATCGTAACGTTTTCTATATCCACTGCTACCGTGTAAGTGAAAACCCATAACATGGCAAGCTAAATGCTTGTTGAGAAGCACAGACAGTTGCCAGCAATGGAAAAGAGATGTGATTAAGGCTGGATTTAAGGTTTCTACACTCTGGCAGTTAAGTGACAGCCTCGAGAGTTGTCTGGATTTGTTCTCTAATGGCACCTTCTGGCTGATCACTTCTGGAAAAATAAAGTCACCCTGAGACGGGTGACAACAACACGTAAAGGGTTAACTGGCTTTCCAAAAACCGCATGGAGAATTCCTGCTTGTAGCTTAACTCACACCAAGGATATGGCAAGAACGGGAGAGAGCCCTGTCAGGGTCATGGTAAGCCCCATCACCACACTCAGCCAGGAAGGCTGTTGTGTTGCTGCCTGTGGGAGACGTGGTTTTCTATGCTGAACAGGTCTGTTTCAGCAGTGACTCAAGGACTCAGCTCTGTGGTATTTATGAGGTGATGTTCACTCTGTGGAATACGGCTGTCTTTTGCCCAAGCTGTGTCAAGGGCAAAAAATAATGGAACTGTAAAAAACATTGTTAGAAGTATGCCTCTGAATAAAGAGTATCTAGTAGGTAGTCATCTCCAAAATAACTGGAGTTTTGTCATTGTACCTTTTTTAAAGGATAGAGATTATGGGAACTACACTTTATGGTGGCATCAGATTTGTTACTCAGAATAGCTTTGGGGAGAACATAAACATGACCGCTTTACACTCCTGGAACATAACTAGGAGGAACATTTTAGGGGCTGTGATGTTGGGTCCAAGGCCAGTTTGGGACTGAAGGACAGAGCTCTCTGACAGAGCAGCAAGGGCTTAGGATCAGTCTGGAGCTATTATCCGTATGAAATGCAACCTCCTTGATCCCCAAAAGTCGCTAAAGCCCTGCCGAAAAAAGGCAAGGGAGCAAAGCCCTTGCTCACAGGGCACCCTCTCCGGGGCGCACAACCGGAGCCCCTGCAGCCAGGAGGCGGGAAGAGCAGCCCACGCCGCCCTGCGGCAGTGAGGACCCCCAAGAGGGCCGGCGGGCAGCACGGCGACCCTTTTTCCTCTCATTTCTCGAACTGCTCCTGGGGAGGCTGCCCCAGCTCGCCGGCTGCTCGCCTCCCCCCGCCGACACCGGCTGAGGCCAGCGGGCGACCGGCGCCCTGCCCCCCGCCGGGCGGGAAACGGGACGGAACATGGCGGGTCCCTCCAGCACCCGCTTCCCCGCCTTTCCCCGCGCCGCCGCGCATGCGCGGCAGGCGGCACCGAGGCCGTATCCCTCCGCCGCGCCCCTCTGCCGGGGTATTTGTTATTAAGGTAATACCCGCGCCCCGCGGTAAGTGCCGCGCGCCCCTCCGACGGCTGCCCGCGGGCGGCACGACCCGCCTCGCTCCCGGGCCTGCGCCTGCCGGCGGGCCAGCTCCTCACAGCGCGGCACGGCGCCCCTCCCCTCCGCCCGCCGTGTCCCTCCGCCAGGCGCAGCGGGGACTTTTGTGTGGGGCTTTTGGGCGCCGATGAGCGGCGGCCTCCAGCGCCCCGGGTTGTTGTCGCGGCGGCGGCGACCGGGCCGGCAGCACGGTAAGGCCCCATCTCCGCTCCCTGTCTCTCCCTCACCCCCCGGGCCGGCCAAGCTTTTCCAGGTCAGTCTGCGCCTTTGTATAGGGCCCTGTTACCGGATGTGGAAGTTGATCTCTTCGCTGGTAAAAAATAATTCCACTTCCCCCGGAACCCGGCGCCGCGGCTCCCTCCGCAGCGCCCAGCCCAGCCAGGATTTCCTGTTGGGGAGAGCGGGCGCGCTGGCCGGCCTTCCGGGGACCCCGCCGCGCGGGGGGCGCGGGCAGCGCCGGCGGCGGCCTGGGCCGTGGCGGCGGCCTGGGCGGCCTGCGGGGCGCGGCCTGCAGGGCAGGGGCTGCGCTGGGGTCGGGGGCCGCCGCGCGGCCGGTGGGGTGGTGATGTTGCGGGGACAGGTCACCTCGGGGCCCAGGTGCCCGCGGCGGTCCCACGCCCGCGGCTGCCGCACTGGCCCGGGCGAGCGCGACGCGCCGGGCGAGGGACTCGTGCGCTGAGGGGCAGAGCGGGGCCTGGCTCGTCCCGCCGATATCCCTGCCGGGCAGCCCGGCTTTGGTCGCGTAGGGACCGTCCCACGCCTCGGGTGGGACGGGTGGCCGGTTCTTATGGCGGCCCGAGGCGGCTGAGCTGCGTGACGATGTTTGGCGCCAAAGGTGCCTTGAGAGGAGCTGCGGTGGGAGCGCAGCGCTTCCCTTCTCTGCAGTGTCCCTGTCCGGAGCCTGTAACTCGTGCTTTGGGCTCTTAATAAAGCGTGTGATCGGAGCCCAAACGGGATAAAATGTGTTAGTTTGGACTGCAGTTTTTCTCTCCTAGTAGTCCCAGAGTTGGTGGGACACTGGCTGATAGCACGTCAGTGAAACCTCCTGTAGGAAGTCTTCTGTGTTTAGTGTTTCTAACTTAAAGCAGTTGCATGCTGTTCTTGCATGTTGCTAAGGTAGCTTTAATTTCTTGGTAAAAGCTGCAGTTTAGAGTTAAATGCTCTGAAATTTGTGAATGCACAGTGTGTGGCACTTCAGATTGTTTTTAATTTTTTTATATTTTTAATTATTCATGACTTCTGAAGTACCAGACTAAGCAGTTTGGTTGAAGTGTGTGTGCATGCTAATACTTGTAGTGGTACATAAATCCGCTGTGTAAACAAGGTTAAGAGCATACATGGCAGATCAGCATGTACACTAGATGTAGGCTCTTGTTCGTGACCCACTTTCTTTGCAGAAAGCAGTTTGTTTTTTCGGGTTTTTTTAGGCCTATGTGCCAGACCGAAACTGTTGAGGAAGGTTCCTCATAACAAAATGGATGCTTTAATTAGAGAGACTGGTGCTTTTTGAGGTTATTTTCAAGTTTCAGTTAATCTGAGACATACTCTGTATGGCTGTAGCACAGTTCAAAGGCTACATCATTAACCCTTAGATTCTTCACGTCGGTCATAGCTGTTGTAATCTTTTTCGTATCTAGTGCCAAGCTTATCTCTGGAAGCTTTGTAGTTTGTTGGCAGTGCCAACCCAAACCTTGGCGGGTGCCAGTGGTTCACCCTTGTTGCATAATAATATTCTTTAGATGTTGCATTCTGTTGCAGGTAATGGCCACGTTTGTGCTCTCCTGTTTTAACTAAAAGACTTTTTACCCATCTGCATTATTTAATGGAGTTAATGTTGCTGACAGCTGCTAATTTAAATTAATGTATGAGCCTAATTGGAAGACAGACCTGCCTAAATATAGGCTTGACTATCGTAACCACTAAGCTATTCAACACTACATTTGCTTTCCTGATCTTTCTTTTCAGATCAGGTATTCTTCATCTGATGCATATGTAGCCCAACATGAAGGTCATGTTGCTGTTTAAACGCACTAGAGAGAATTTAATTACAAGCACAACACAGTCATAGAGGAAAGCTGAAAGCTATTAATATATTAATGTAGTTTTTATTATCATAATAGAAGTGTGGGTACTCTAAGCCTATGATATTGAGATTTAAAGTATGACGTGCAAAATTATTGTTGAAATACATCTGGAAGGGTGTGATTCCCTTAGGAAACAATACAGGAACTTTCTGAGTTTTTCATGTGTAAGTCACCATAATCAGTATTAAATGATACATCTAGTGAAATCATACCAAAGTTCTTAAGAGATGCTAGGACATGGAAGTACACCTAGGTTTAATGCGGACCTTCTGGTGCCTTTAAAAGTTGCAAAACATTTAAATAAAAATAATTTTTATTCCAATTAAAAGTTTGTAATTGAAATAAAAACCTTTTTCAAGAGTTTTTCTGAGTTAGGTATTCTGCTGTTGTATCAGGATGTAAAAACAAAACCACAAGTTGATCCTGTTACTTAAATTATAATAATTATCAAAACCGAGTGCTTGATTAAGAATTTAAGTAGTTATTGCTAACTATTTATACACTGTACTTCCAAAAATATTTGTGACCTTGGTGTGGATAGGCATATTAGTTAGAAATGGCTATTCTGAATTTCTGCTGGTACTATGCAATGCTGGGATCAGATGGCATTGTTTCTGAAGGTTGGATCTTGAGAAGCAGGTTAATCTTGTTGAAATAGGGGAAAGAAAAAGGCATTGGGAAAAGGCATTCTTTTTTCAGATGTAATGAGTGTCTTCCAAGCTGTCTTCCAAGTACACTTCTGCTGCATGCCACTTCAGTAGGGAAAACTTTTTAATTAGCATTTTATGAAAGTTTATCTTGGGTTTTTTAGGAATGATTGAAAATCTTATCACAGATACAGGGTATATTATTGAGTTTCTCTTATGGTAAATCGCAGTGCTGTAATCCATGCTTTTCTAACATAAGTGTATCTATTAGGAGTGTGCCTTGGTAGGGGTACACTGGAGGCTGTGAGATTTCTGTGTTGGCAGATGTTCTGCAGCAACTGGTTTGTGTCTGTTGATTTTGAGCAGTTGTTCACCAGTGCAGTGGTAGAAGGTGAATAGGGCTGAGTCCAGGATCGTTGAAGCAGGACGCCAGACTGAAAGGTGCTGCAGTATTTTAAGCCAGACTTAATCTTCTTCCTTTGGACTGCAGACTCTGCTTCTCTGTTGTCTTCAGGGTGTGGTGTGGTGTAGCCCAGGCTTCCCAAGCTGCATGTTTTCCAGCTCCTCTCCCTCCTTACAGGGCCTATTTTGCACACAGTTCTGCCTGAACTCCATTCAAATGCTGTTCTGTACTCCTCTGGTAACAGCATGTTGTTCAGAGTTTTAGAGAATGTATAAAACCTTGAATCTGAGATGAACATGGAAAAGCAGAATGATTTCCTAGGCATAAAGTAGCAATAATAATTTGATGTAAGTTTTATTTACCAGTTAATTGTGGCATCTAGCTAATGATACTGTGTAGAATGCATTGCAGTAACAAAATATGGAAGTTCAGGAGGTGATTAATGCAAAGAAGTCCAAACCCAGCAGAAGCTCTTCCCTATTTTACTCATTTGCAGACAAACCCCATTGCTCACACAGTTGTGTGGGAGCTGCAAGAAGTCTGAAAACATAATCCAGTTGCCACACGAATAACTATAACCGTCTCAGACTTTATTTCAGAGCCAGGAGTGTTTTTATTGTCTGAAAGAATCCTCTTGTAAGCATTATCCAGCTGTTGTGCTAGCCAAGCTTGATGGAAATGTCAGTTACTGAAGAGTACCTTCTAGCGCAGTTCAGTGGAGTTGATTTGTAACACTACATAGAGTAGCAGCAGTATATAACTAAGGGTGCTGCTTTGAAATAGAAATATTTTAATTTTAAATGTATGTTATTGTACTATATATAGTACTTTGCTTTTGATAGTATCACTGTGCTATTGTAGTGTTACTGAGTGATCTCAAGAGAGCAGCTGAAGAACTCCTCTGGAAAGGGAAGAAAGGGAAATTCTGACAATGGAGACCATGGTATGCCCCAGTACTAGCAGTGGAAGAGTGGGGGGGAGGGGGCATGTTACTCAAGGGTTTCTTGACCTTACAATGCTAGTCCTTGGAATGCTCAGCCAGGTAGAAATCAGCTTGGGGTTGAGTCCTCTTGAGAAATTTTGTGAATGCCAGTGCTGATTGGTTAGAAGTGACAAAATGTGCATGTGTTCTGTTGGAAAGGCCTCTGCAGTTGCTGCTGTTAGTGCATTAGTGACACATAATGTGATTTTTATTTTTTGAGTTCAGCAGTGTAATTTTGCTAAGTTTTTAACTTTCTTCCACTAGATGGCCCAGGCATGCTTTCAAGTAACTGATGAAAACTTCATTTCTAAACCAAAGTTAAAATTCAGCATCGCCAAACACACGTAAACTTCTGTGATGCTTTGTGCTTGTTTAAAATACAAACACTTTATATCAACCAAGAGAGTGTTGGTCAATGTAAATAATACATTGTAATGAAGGTTATGTCTGGTATGATCTTCTATGTCCCTCTTTTTCCTTGATTAGAACTTTCCTTAGTGCATGTGGTGCAAAGCAGTTTAGTTTTGCATTGAAATGGAAACTGATGCACTGTTAGTATGACAGTGTGTTCAACCACAGTGGTTCAGAGAGACTCTGATAAAGTGATTTTAGGCTGAAGTTTGTCCCTAACATTTCCCTGGAGTGAGGCTTGCATTTGCATTAATTTGGCTGCATAGAGGTTTGGTAACAATTTTGCAGTTTATTTCTCCAGTAGAGATGTGGTCAGTGGGTTCTGAATAGGCATAGTCATTAAATATATGGACTGTAATTTAATTCACCTATTTGTTGTCTGTCAGACATCATGTATAAGCTTGTGGTCAAGGCTGTTTTGTTGGTTAGTGGAGAAAGATACGCAGAGGACAGCTCTTACCATGAGTGTGGTCGGACACTGGGATGAGGCCAAAGAAGCAGTGGGATGTGCATCCACAGGGACATCCAAAACTCAACAGGACTGAGCCCAATGCAGTATGAATCTGCTAGGCCAGCTTTGGCTGGAAGATTGAATTAGGTGACCTTAAGAGGCCCCTTCCAGTCTCAGGAGTTCTGTAATTCCAAAAGGAGGCTTTATTCCTTTTCTCTACTGCTGTTTAAAACAAAATGAAACACAAGGAAAATAAATTGTCTTTCTGAATTAACTCCTAACTTTTTTGCATTAATTTCCAACTTTCCTTTTGCTTCTGAAGACCTTGTGGTGGTGGTGTTAGGCCACCAGAAGTGTGTGTGTGTTGTGTGCTCTTTCACTTCTTAAATTGCACCCCCTGTCTCCCCACCAAGAAAAAAAGCCAACCATACAAAGGGTTATATTCCTTCTTTTGTTGCTGCACTTGCCGAATGCTCTCTCTGTCCTATCGTTGTTTTATATCATTACTCCTAGTGTCTCCCTAGGATAGTAGGGATAGTAGTTTTTCTTGTTTTCCTGTTTCTCTTTTGCTCTTTATGGAAGAGTCAGCTGTTCCTTCCTCTGCATCTGAATCTGTGCTCCCTTTTTCCTTCCTTTTCCCATTGTCAGTATTTGTCCTGGCCTGCCACCTTCCTGCTCCTCTTCCCTTTTCTTGCTGAAGACAAATCAACATGCCTGTTTGTAGTAAAAGGATGAACATAAATGGAGTATTATTTTGGTGAGGGGATATTGCTGCCTGAAGTCAGTTCTGTAGAGAAGTGGTCTGCTCGTGTTCCTGGCTCTACTGATGTGTGTTGGAGTTCTGCATTTGCAGTATTTATCTCTTCCTTTCTAATTTCTTATAAAGTCAATAGCTTTCAGCTTATGGAGCAATATACCGCACAGGCTTTGCCAGTTGAGCCAGGTGCAGAGGACTTGATTTTGTGATAGACGTGTGTGTTTAACGGGATTTCTTTCTGAACTGATATACTGCAACTTTGTGTAGGAAATTGTAGTCGCATGTAGCTGCAAGGCCTTGCAACTGCTATTATTAGTAATACAGGCTTAACTTCACTTGTGACTGGAAACTAAACTGATGAAAGTAATTCCATTTTTAGCATCTTGGTAGTGGAAAACCTAGCTATAGGACTGAAGTATTCATTATGTATTTTATTTGGTAGCATGAGAAGATTATCTAAAGAATATGTGAGAATTTTTCAGCTCATTTCAGTCGTGTCAAAATTTTGCACTTACAGTTTTTTGTAACTGTAGAGAGTTGAAGCGGGTAGTAATGTTTGTTCTCAGGCAGACATTTTAGCATCATTTTTGTAGCTAAGGATACAGAAACTGTGGTTTAGTGTGAACAAAATGAAGTGATAGTGATGAGCGAGATGTCAGAAAAGTGTTGTGTTTCATAACTATATAAATGCATTTACGTAGTGGTACCTCTTAAACGTGTAGGCATTTTAGATAAGTGATTGTAGTGCCTTTGGGCATGTGGCATAGCAGCCGTGCTGTAATACAATTTGAAAGCTGGGCAGAGCTGCAGAAGGTTGCAGTATCAGGTGAGAACCTCTAAACCACTTTCTGCTATGAACTGTATGTGTCTGATTCAGATAATTTAGTTTTACACAGCATTGCAGCTGCTGTGATTATATCATTGTGATATGGACATCTTCACCCCAGTGTCTGTCTGACAAAAGTAATTCTAAAATCAAGCTGCTTATTGCAGTCAGTAAAGCTTGTTCTCATTGCTGTAATACCAACCCCAGGTTTTGAACTTTTCAGAGTAGTTCAGAAAGAATTAAAAAAATAGCAGTGGCATTTGTGTACTTAAAATGGTATTAATTTTTTTTATTTTTTCTATATATTCCTCTATGTCCTTCACTAGATGTCACTAGTAGATTTGGGAAAGAAACTTTTAGAAGCTGCGCGAGCAGGTCAAGATGATGAAGTTCGCATTTTGATGGCAAATGGAGCGCCTTTTACCACAGATTGGGTAATGAAAACTTTTTCAGTGTTTGGTAAATCTCACTTTTCCTCACCTGCAAAAGAAAACAGGATTATTACAATTAAGGATTTACATTGCAAGCCTTTGGACTTTCTTCTTGGAATTACACAGCTACCTCATGTAATGTCTAATCCAAAATTAAAGTTGTCTGTTTCTTCATATGATTTCCTACTGATCTTGGTAACAGACTGTGAATGAGCTCATTCTGGTGTCTTTTAAGATGAACTTTTGGAATGTTAATGAGAGACAACAGCAGTCATCCTCCTAGTTATTGTGTTTATGCATTTAGTATAGTAAGAGGTCTGAATTAAGAAAGCTGTCCCAACTACCTAAATATGTGCATCTGAGAATTCCCTGATATAGGGGCTTTGAGTTGTCTTTTGGAGGTGCCTTTTTTTTTGAATAGGATACATAGGGAGGTCAGGTACCTAAAATTCTAGGGTGTTTGCAAGCCCTTAGGAGCCTTAAGCAACCCAGCTTTCAAGTTGACTCTGTTTTATGCTGGAGATTGGACTTAAGTGTCTTACAGAGGTCCCTTCCAATGTTGCTATGGCCTGTTGGCTAACACTGAAAATGGGGTTAAGCCCCTTGAAATACCACACCTCAGAAAGACAGAAAAACAGCACAGGCCTTGAAAAGTTGCTTCCAATGAGCAGGTTTTTTGTGTTGTGATTACTGGGGGGGGAAGGGAGAGGGGAAGCCCACAGATACTTAAGCTTTTTTTTTCATACTCTGTAAAAGCCATGACAGCTTTTTTTTCTCTGAGAATGCAAGAGAAAATGGTTTTGAAGTGGTGCCCTAACACCCAAGTTTGATAGCTTCAGAACAGGAAGAAATCCTTCATACTGACATCTTTTAAAGCTCCGTTTTTTCCATTACATTACAGTTGGGAACATCTCCACTTCATTTAGCAGCACAGTATGGACACTACTCAACAACAGAAGTGTTGCTGCGAGCAGGTGTAAGTCGGGATGCCAGAACCAAAGTGGACAGAACTCCATTACATATGGCAGCATCAGAAGGCCATGCCAGCATAGTAGAAGTCTTACTTAAGGTAAAAAATGCTGAAACATGGTCTGACGCATGGATATTACAATGGTTTATGATCAAATATTCGCAATTTCCTTTTAGTCATGAAAACAACATTGAAATGATACGAATACTTCTACTGTGTGCATAGAGCTTTGTTTTCCTGTTAAACTGTAATTTATTTTAGCATTAAAATAATGATTTCAGGTGGATTATTTATTGCTATGTCAAAGTTAATCTTAACTCCTAATTTGGTGTAGTGTGAATAACCACTTTTAGAACCAAGACATGTTGTGTTTTAGGAAGTCTTTAATCCTTTCAGGTAAATAATTGATTTGGTGATTAGTCTGAAGTTCTTTTAAGAAATGTGTAAATGTAAGGTAACAAACAGAACATTACTGACAGAAAAAGGCAGTTTTGGGTTTCATTATGTCACCAGCATTATTTAATTCAGATACTTCTAATGACAGTTTATGCAATGATCTTGTTTGTAGCATGGTGCTGATGTCAATGCGAAGGACATGCTCAAAATGACTGCACTTCACTGGGCTACTGAACATAACCACCAAGAAGTTGTAGAACTCTTAATAAAGTACGGAGCAGATGTTCATGCTCAGAGTAAATTTTGCAAAACGGCATTAGATATTGCGGTAGACAATGGAAATGAAGACCTTGCAGAAATATTACAGGTAACTTTTGATTCATGATGGTGAGGGAGCTTAAAGTACTTGTTTACAGATGTAAAAAACTAAGCTTTTAATACAGCAGCTGTGAAACCCTATATTGATTGGCAGTGCTAAACTCAGTCTAGTTTGTGACATGGAAGTGAGATTAATGTTAGCAAACATTAGTGACCGAAGAACATTTTCACCACCTACAAGTCAGGGATAAGTATCCTTCATTTTCGTAAATTCAAGTGTTGTAGTACGCAGAACTAGGTAGTGTCCTCACAAGCGAATTGTAAAACTTAACTCCCTGCTATGCCGATAAGTTCTGACTGTACCCTAGTGTTCAGTTAGCTTTGTATAGGGGTATTGATTTCCTAACAATTGTAGATCAGGAGAGGAGAGAAGAGATGGCAGTTTTTCATTAGAAAGACAAGGATTGAATTGTTGAAGAGATTTGGATTGGTATGATAACAGATACTTCCATGGGGATGTGTGCTCCACATTAAAGGCAAATGAAGAGCTAAATATTACTGATAATAGAAAGCAAATGAAAAATACCATTATGCCACTGTATAAATTTGTGTTCCCCTACATCTTAAGCTGTAAGAACTTCTACTTGTTCCTTTAGCCTTCTTTACATGTCAGAAAGGATATAGTAAATTAAAGTCATTAATAAGTCAAAAAAAACACAACAAGACACCAAAAAGATGATTGCAATCTACAATCCATAGCAATTACTTAGCTTTCAGAGCTGATTTTTCATGGCATGTAGCTGCCCCAGTGGCCTCAGTTTTTCAGGCCTCTATTTTATGCATGTGAACTTTTGCATATTTACGAAAGGGGCTTGACTTTATATGATCCGCTTTGTTCACAATAAATAAATAAATGGTAAGGAGGAGAGGCAACGTGTCACTGTTCTCTTCCACTTCATCAGACTTTTTGTATTTAAATTTCATCCAGGAAAAAAAGTTTCTCATGTTCTTCCACAAGCACAGTATGTGACATGATGTGCGTGTATTGCATGAATATAATGAGGGAGATCATCACTCTTTGAGTGGAATGTGCAATAATTCTAGTTCTTACAAGGTGAATAACTTCTTTGTACCTACCGTTGGAATGATATTACTATGTTTGTTTCCTAGATTGCAATGCAGAACCAAATCAATACAAATCCAGAGAGTCCGGACACTGTGACGATACATGCAGCAACACCGCAGTTCATCATTGGACCTGGAGGGGTGGTGAACCTAACAGGTCTGGTATCTTCTGCAAATACATCAGAGGGAACAGGTATTTAGATGCCTATAGGATAGCTACTGGGATTTTATACTTTAATCGGTTTTCACCATTTAGTGATAAGGCCTGAGGAAAAGTGGTGGTAAGAATAATTACCATGTGCCTCTTCGGTGTTTATGTGCTGTAAATAGCTGCTTAAAACAACAATCTTCACAGAGATAAATTATCAGAAGTTGTATTTGCTCAAGAAACTTGCTGCAGAATAGCAGAATGTTGCTGAGAGCTGTGTGTTAGCACTGGTTTTAAATTTGTCAGCTAACTATTTTTTTTCCATTGCACCAGATGAAACAGGAGTGTCTGCTGTACAGTTTGGAAATTCATCAACGTCAGTATTAGCCACGTTGGCAGCTTTAGCAGAAGCATCAGCTCCACTGTCTAATTCTTCAGAAACACCAGGTTAGAAAGCTTAAGTCATTTAACATCATTTAATAAATTAAAAGTATAGAACTGGCACTTTCAGTGATAGGTTTCATACAGAAATGAGATTGCAGCCTTCCTTTTCTCAGCATGAACAAAATTTTATTTTCACCTGGAAGGTGGCCAAATTCATATGTACAATTACTTCTCAATAAGATTTCTGACCACAACTAATATTTCTAGTAGCATTCATCTTGCTGAAAGCAAGTAATTCAGGAGATTGAATTTAAGTCTTTGTCTGCGTAGAGTTTAGTTGCATTTGGTTGGAGAATGGTATCTTTGAGTGCTTTCTGTTAGTTATTGGGAAATGTCCCCTAACACTGTTTGTGAATACTTTGTCATCAGTTTTCTTAATCTTTCACCCAAAAGGCACAAGAATATTTGGTGATCTTAATGTGCAATTGGCCCATTAGAGTATCTGTGGGTCATCTTTTCAACATTAAGACATTCTACTTGCATTTATAATAATATGAAGTGATGAGTATGTCCCACTTCAGGCTGGTAGGCTTCAGTTAAACATAAGCCTAGCATTATTGTTCTCCTAGGAAGAAGCAGCCTGCATCCTTCATTGCAGATGTATGCACACTACTTCATTCCATCAGGTCATGACAGGAAGCCAGAAAGGAACAAGGAATTCCATTGTCCCTAGTTGCTAAGTTTTGCATTCTTCTTTCTGATGAGTTTCTCACTTCATCTCTGTTCCATGGATCTTTGCCAGTTACTGCTTTGTCTGAAAAAAATATATATCTGTACTCAGATTTCTGGCCTGACAGCTACATCCTAACATAAACCTGAGTTTTCATCTCAGAGTATTTTGAAGTCTTGCAGGATTTCTTCTAAATACAACTCTTCTGCTGCTTCTCAAAGCAGAACTGTTCTCAAAGTACAGCTGTACTATTTTATGACATTTAAATATTGCAAGTGAAGTGGATGATTCAAAACTAGAGTGCAGTGTCTTTTATTATAGAAGAAGCTGTTGATGTTTTCAATTGATATATTTCGGTGAACCTTGGATCTGTAAGAGAGAAACTCGAGAAAGGATTGCATGGGATTATAGAGCATTAAATGTGTATCCAGGACTCAGTAGTAGGCTTTGGTAGTGAACTGAGTGTAATGTTACAGTAAACCACTGAAGATAAAAACTATTAGAGAGGAGGCAGGAGGCAATGGACAGAAGGAATAAGCTTGAAGTCTTGATGCAGTAACTTCACAACTTCAATAACGCATGTCCATCATACCTAACCATCCTGTTTATTTTGGAGGTTCTGCTTTGATTTTTATGCAGATGTGGGTAATCTTGCAGCATCTTTCTGTGTAAATTATTTTCTGGGTTCTTACTCCTTTTATAGTTCATAAAGCGTAAAGAATATAAAACCAGCATATAGTGACATCAGTAGTAAATGTCTTCAAGTTAAAAATAAAAGAAAAACAACACTATACACCTCCCTTCTCTTGTGGTCATCTTATAAAAGATTCATGTATAGATACTCTCAAAAATTGTAGCGCTGAGAATTCTGGTTTTGGCTTTTACCTTGCATTTAGCCTTCTTTACTTAAGACTGTATAAACTTGGACAAAGCACTTAAGTTCTGCCTTTTATGCTGTTTTTCTGTAGGTTTTCCTCCTCTTTCACAGTTAACTTTACCCTGATCTCTTCCCTAGTTCCTCATGTCTTACAGTTAAAAACACATCAATTTCATAAAACCAAAGAAAGGCAGGTGCTTCTCACTGGAGCTGAATAGACTGATGGTGTGTTTTTTTTTCCATTGTTACTCAAGTATATATGAGGCACAGATGTTATGCACAAATGTGTTGTATAATGTATGTATGGAACTCGGACTTGGATTAGAAAAAAACCTGATTTAAGATGTGTATTTGGAAAGCAGTAACTGGTGTGCTTACACATGGAATTAGGCATATGCCTTGCCGCTTGTGAAGGTGTTCTCCCCATGCGCACACTGCAGCAGAAAATAATGCGTATTAATTTAGAGATTCTTGAAAATAATTGTGCTGCATTCCTAAGTGACTTCAGCTTTCCTTTGACATATGAAGCAGTATGGTAACTAATGATTATATGGATATGAAGGAGAACAAGGAAGGTATAAGGACTGTATTTAAGGGCATGTTTTTCCTTTACATAGAATAACTTCTTTTTAGACAGAATGTTCATTTTTCTGTTAAGGTCTGAGGAAGTCCTGATAATGTTTCCTTCCACAACTAAAAGGCCAGTGCTGAGTTTGAAACTGGAAGATCAGGGCTGTTTGCCACAGCAGCTAGCATTAGCACTTGCAGCTTGGAAAGGCAGTGGCCTTTCTTACTGCTGAGCCTGTATGTGGAAGTCAGATCAAGTTCAATACAACACCACTTATTTATGTAGGACTTACTGTTTTGGTTTACTGAGTAAACACTCTGTGAATATTTAGGCTATAGGACAGTAATCTCTGAACATAAAGAGCTTCAGAAGACAATGACTGCAGTCATTATTTGAACTACAGAGTGATTTTTTTGTGTGTGTGTTATATTGTAATTAACTTAAAAGATGAAAGCTTCAAGGTTTTATCTACCTTCTCTCATCTTGAGCATCACAACACAGTCTATAGGATTTTCATTTAATCTCTGTAGATAGAAAGCACTTTAATGTCTATCATTTAAATCAAAGGCTTTGCTTGTACCCTGACAAATTGAAAATAAAATACAGAGTTAGTGTGCTTGAGATTCTTTGATTGTGCTGCTAGTGATCTCGCTCTTTTGTCTTGGTATCTCATTGCTTTAAAAAAATAAAGTGGTAGTGCGAGACCTCAGTTAGTGTCTAGTGTGAGTATGGTGTGTGTTGGAGTTCTGAATGCAGTCTTAGCCTTACCTTACCATGATGTATAGATGTAATGTAAAACTTCACTGCTATTTTTGACAGTCAATATCAAATAATGAATTAGAAATGCTTGCTTGAGCTGGGATTTTTTTATTTTTTACCTTTACATGTAAAAATACATACATACAATGTTTATTTTTCTACTTAAGCTCTAAGTTTATCCTTCAAAGGTGTAAAAATGTCAACTCTGCAGAACTTTTCCTTTAGTCCTGTTTCATATTTTGTATAACAAATAAGGTTGTGTTTGTGGTTGAACTACCCAGGTAGTACAGACAAAACTTTAGGATTCTCTAAAGTTCCTTCAGTCTGTTGTAGTCTTGAAGACCATTACGGTAAGCAGAGAAGTCAAGGCTGGGTCCTGAGGTACACCTGGCAAGTCACTGGTTGAGGAGTAGTTTCAAGCTAGTATTTAAAGTTTGTTTGGTTTATTCTGCTGTTAGTGTAAATTAGTCCAGCTTGTGTACAATGCAGAAGTTAATTGTGTTCTTAAAAGCAGCTCTTGTTCTTGCTGCAGTGTTAACACTGAACCCCAAGCATCAGTTTTGAGTGGGGTGTATCTATCGGGAAACATACTAAATAAAAGAGCTACTATATTGAGCAAGGTAAACCAGGACAGAGTTCCATGTATATTTCAAAATGTTAGTGCCTTATGTTGCCTGGTAAAAGATTTTATTTTATTTATTTATTTATTTATTTATATTAACCGTATAATGTCTTCTAAAATTTTCTGCCACTCAGTGCATTATTACACCTTTTTTTTCTGCTGTATTTAAATGCATTTGAAATCATGTAGTTTAATTAAATTGACTTAATTCCTTTACTAATCTGTTGATAGTTGTGGCCACAGAAGAAGTTGTGACTGCAGAGTCTGTGGATGGTGCTATTCAGCAAGTTGTCAGTTCTGGAGGTCAGCAAGTTATTACTATAGTGACAGATGGCATTCAGCTTGGTAATCTGCATTCAATTCCAACCAGTGGAATAGGGCAACCAATCATTGTGACCATGCCAGATGGACAGCAAGGTGGGTGGAAACACATACAATTTCAGCTTGAGCAACTGTTTTAATTATAGTAATTATAATGAATTGTTAGGTGCAAATAGTTTGGACAATTTTGTGTAAGTCTAAATTTAAAAACATTGAGTTCTTATATTGCAAAATGCTCAGACATGAGCTACTGCAGTTCAGTGAGTTACATGTCAGCAGAGTGCATTAGGAGGAAGAATAGAAGAATTATTAACTGTGTGGAAGGGAAACGGTACATTGAAGGGAAGAGTGATAACTACTTACTTTGCTTTGAGTAAGCTTGATTCTTGCAGACTTGTTTTGAAGGCTAGAAGATGGAGTCAAACAATAGTCTTCTTCCAGTACTCACGTAGTTGCTTTGCCAGAAGGACAGGGAGGTGAGGCTTGGATGTAGAAATCTGGTGCTTCAAGCAAACTGCGCAAGTCCTATGGAGTGTGTTCTTAACAGAACAAAAGCCAAGTCTGACATGCTTGAGGTTTTAGAGGAGCAGTGGCAGAACCAGTGGAACCAGAGTGACACAAATGGTCCTGTTGGGCCATATGTTTGTGGAAGCTGCTAGGGTCATAAGTGTGTTTTGTGACATGTATGTTTTGGGTGGTTTCTTTTAAAGATGTTCTGCCACTACTATCTAGACAAAAGTTATTCCTTCTCCAGTTTCTTCATGAGGACTTCCAGTGTGGAGTTTGAAGAGCTGTACCCAGGGGACAAGTTATTTGGTTCACTGTCTTGTCTGAACAAGTACAGCTAGTTACCAGAAAGCATGAATGTGTGTAGGTAGTTAACTGAAGTGACAGTTACATTTATTTGCCAGATGGTTGCATGTCTATATTAAAAGTATGAATTTCTTTAGATCCATTTTCCTTTAAGGTTAGTAACTACTGGATTTTCAGATTACCTATGGTGTTCTAATCAATCAAAATCAAAAGCCAGTTTTGTATTTAGTATTTGCTTAAGTAACATTATAAAGATTGTTGGTTTTAGACATTAGAGAATTGGCAGGCTGGTAACTGCTGCAATTCACTTCCATGTTTGTTTGCCCTGCAAAAAATGGCAATAATACTCCAGAGTGACAACTAACTATTGTGGACCTCAGTAGCATACAAGCAGCTAAAGTTTTTAGTAAATTCTCCGCATATAGACTTCACAGTGCACTTTATTATATAGTTGTGTGTTCATAGGGGAAAGTCTCTGCATTTTATTGCTGTTAATAAAATTTTATATAGTGCAAATACTGTTTGAAGCAAATATATTTATATGTACAAATGTTTTCAGTATTAACAGTTCCAGCAACAGACATTGCTGAAGAAACTGTGATAAGCGAAGAACCGCCAGTGAAGAGACAGTGCATTGAGATTGTTGAAAATCGTGTGGAGTCTACAGAAATAGAAGTAAGGAGTATATTGCGTGATATGTGTTAACCAGAGTATTCAGCACTGAATATCTGGTTGTGGGGTTTTCTATTGTTCTATAGTTTAATTTTGTGTTACCAGAGACTGAAGTGTCTGAAACAATAACTTGTTCTGTCTTCCCTGTTACTGGAATTCATCTTTTACAAAGTTGTTGTTAAAAGAATGTAGGAGGGCTGTTTGCTTCATCCTCTGGTTGTGCACATAAGAGGCACTTCTTTAAATATATGATAACTTAATTTTTTGTTTTTCCTTTAAGATCCCCAGCTACTTTTTCAAACAAGGTACCAATATATTGAATAACTTGACATTTTCTATTAGTGAATGAGAGTACTGTACCCACATCTTTCTGTTATGACCACGTGCTTGTCCTGGTTGTGAGATCTTATTTTTTACAAGGTTTCCTTTCCATTCATGATATCTAAATAACTATTAATGGAAATGTGAAACAGTAAGATTCTGCATTTGTCAGTTTGTATCTGCTCCTCCCTCCTACCCCCCCCCCCCCTTTTTTTTTTTCGTCTGGAGCTGTTTACACATCTTTGCCCCATCCTGTTGTGGTTTTGTTTGTTTGTTTTTAATTATAGTGTGAGACACCTAACACCACTGAGAGCTCTTTTTATATATGAGAAATGTTTGATTTTAAATTGTAGCCTTTTTATATTAGCCACAATAGGTCAACCATCTCATTCCTTCTTCTGTTACTTGTTACTGTGCTGACCAGCTTTGATCAAAAGTTTATGAAAATGGCTGTTTGCCTTGTCTAGGCTGTAAGTTCTCATTTTGTCAACTCCACGGTACTTCATTTATCAAAGATTGTATTCTCCAGCTTCTGTTCATATTACTGAATTGTGCCGAATTGAATATTTTTTTTATTGTACAGTGTGTGCTATATTATCCATGTCTAATAACAATAATTACCACCTTTCATCACTTGCTTTCCCTGTCCCTAAGTTGTCACATACTTCTAGGGTTTGCAGCTTTGTGGTCATTACAGATTATCATGACAGTTGAAATTTTCTTGCTGCTTTTTTAAAAATGTATGACTGTTACAATAAAAGTGTTTCTTAAACATTTGCCTGAATTATTCATAAAGGAAATTACATTTCCTTAAGTATTTTAATAATTCTGTTAGGTGAAAGAAAAAAATGTTGATTGTTTAAGGAATAAATTGACCTGTTCCTAATTGCACATAGTTGGTGTAACAGTACAAATAATTCTTTTAAGGGGATTACCAGTTTTAGTTGTATGTTTTAAACACATCTCTCAAATAATGAAAGAAGTTGGTTTAAATTAGTTACTTTCTTTGTTACTTTTAAGTGTGAGTTTTGATGATAGACTTTGTCCCTGCCTATGCTCCATCACTGACAGTGTTAAAGGTCAGGTTGGATGGAGTCTTGGGTAACATGATTTAGTGTGCAGTGTCCCTGCCCATGGCAGGAGGGTTGAAACCAGATGATCTTAAGGTCCTTTCCAACCCCAAGCATTCTGTGATTCTATACAACTGGAAATGCAGATGCAGACCTCTGCCTCTGTTTGGAGGCAAATTGTGATTCACAGGGGTATGGTGCTCCCTCAGTTTGGTAACAGAGGCATTAAAGAAGTGCACATAAAGTCAGTTCACTTCAAACTTCATCGTCATCATAGAAGGTGTTAGATAGTTGAATTTGGTGGGAGTAGGACCCCTCTGCTCATTAAAATATTTTTTAATGCAGAAAACCTTTATTGTTTGGTTTCCCATGATTTATTCCTTTATTTCATTATAAAGAGTTGATTCAAGGCTAAGAGCACTTTCTTCAGCTACTTTAAATTCATGGCGTGTGAACAGTTAACTGTAGTTAAGTTGAACATCATCCCATTCATGTCAGGTGACAAACTTCCCTGTGAAAGTATTGTGAATGACTAAGGGTGTCCTTGTGGTCTTCTGTTTTTCTCTTCTGCGTCTGTTAAGTTCAAACATTCCAGCTTATTTTGAAGGGTGGTAGCAATTTTCCTGAACAGTTTGATATTTTAAATACAGGGTGGCAGCAAAAAAAAACCCCTGTGGCACAGATACTGTTTTTCATTTTCATGCATAATTCATTAACATGCATTGATTTTTATTTTCATTCTTGTATTTGACTTTTGTTGCCTGCTGTGTTGCATTCTGTGTTGCATGCTTGAAAGGTCACACATTAGAACCAATCATTTCATTAGACTAAAAAAAAAAAGCATTATTGTAGACTAATTATATTAGTGAATTCATATCCCTGTTTGTTCTGTTGTTAAAAAGAATGCTTGGTTTGGTTACGTTAGTTACGGATGTCCTTGTTGTCAATACATAGACTGTTACGAAAAGTTACATGTAATGATAAATTGGAAGATTTCTTAAGAGCACTCAGGGTCCTCTAATTTGTTTTTTACCCAAGTAGGTTTTTATACTGATACAAAAGAACTTCAGATAATTAGAACACTTCCGGATTTGATTATATTAACAGATCAGATACAGTCCTCCCTATTCTAGATGTCAAAGGAACCAATTTTCCCTGTTCAGTCTGCCGTAGATCTGCATTGCTCTTCCAGAAGCACCGGTTTCTTTTCACTGCCTAGGTAGACAGTATGCTTGGCATCAGTTCCTTAACTTGTTCTGTTGATGTTGGAGCAATGACTATCTAAAAACTACACCTATTGGTAGTAGGACTAATGTACATGCTTTGAATTGCTAGTATGTTTGGTAGATACTTGGTTTACCTTCTTGTCTCTGCCACTGAGACTTGGTTTTTTAGGTATGGTGTCTCCCCCTCCTCTATTTTTCTCTTCTATGGGAAATACTTTTAGGTATGGTCTACGAACCCCTTCACTCCCAACTGTTTGCAGTCTGCACACACTCCAAATTTTCAGATGTGGAACTTCCTTTTCATATAAGTAAGATTAGAGGAGCTCTCATTTTATTAGCATAGGCTCCGGATGAAACAAACCCCTCCTAGCTTCCTCTAGTTCTTAAAGCCCTGTGTAAAATCAAGTTGCACTTAATGTGGTCTATATTATAGCTAGTCTTTATGACATGTTAATAACATTTCTCCTTCACATGTTGTTTTTGCTGTACAGATGCTGCTGTTAGCAATGATCTGACCACCTATGTCATTGTATTCCAGCACATTCAGCACAGCATGTGACTGCTAAATGTGACTGTGACAAGTACTGAGAACAGTAGCAAGTAGAAGGGAGGCAGAGTATTTTGTATTTTCAGGCTCTGATCATGAGAATATGCGAGTGCAGCAAAGATGTGAAGAATAGGGATTCTGTTACGTGGGAGGGGGGAGAGAAGATTTTAACAACTGTTTGACGTGTTAAATGGGAATGTGGTACCGAACTGCTGGAAATAAGGTAAAAAGGCACCTTACTTTGACTGGGCCTCAATTTCTGATAAGAGTTTTGTTTTTCTGGGAAATAGCTTGCTTCTCTAACAAGTTCCCTCCTGTGCATACTTAACAACTACAGTGGAAAGAATGATTTGAAATCAAATACTACCTTATTCATAAAAGTATGATGCACTTTAATGAAATGGCATTTGGTTGAAGATCAAACCAAAACTATTTTCTAAGCAAATTGCTTTTGCAATTGGGCTCAGTGCAGCATCAAACAAAATGACGGAACCTACGTCACTGCAGATAGAAGTACATTCTCCTTAGTTCCTAAGGCAGCTTCATAGGAAATGGCATTTCCCATATTATTTTGCTTGGAAACCATTTTATAGCAGTCCCCAACAAACCTGTATGCAGGATGGAGCCTTAAGTTCCTCCTTTTGAATTGAAAAAGCTCATCTAGCTAAGTGTCTGTTAATTCATAAAGATGGGGTATCCTTGAGGATGTAATTATACATCAGGATTGCATAGTATTAATCACATCAGATCACTTTGTTTAGGAAACCTAGTTATGTGTGTATTTTGGTTAGTGGGCAGCTGTCACTTTACAGCGCAAGTTGCTGTTATGTGTCAGTTTTTCGTTCTACTGTCTGACTGAAAGTACAACAGACTAGGACAATCCTGTTTGATTGGATTCCAATTTACAAGAGTAACAAAGGGAATTGAGTACTGGAGAAATGCTAATATATGATTTTGCATTTGATCACTGCGCTTCCTCTTTTTACTTCACTCTTTTCCTATGAAGACTTGCTTGGTATCATTGCATCTAAAGAAACTTGGGTTTACTATGGTTCCACCTAAAGCCTTATTGTGGGGAGGTGTCTGGTGTGATAGTTCCTGTTTAATTTACACAGCAGTGCTTGGTTTGCCCAAGTAAGAACTGAACAGTTTCTACATGATATCCTGACACTTGAGCTGCATGTAAAGGCAAAGAATTTGCCATTTTAATGTGTATTCGATACATATTTGACAAAATATTGCTGGTTATGTTTTTAATAGGAAAGAGAAACTCTTCAGAAACAGCTGGATGAGGCAAACAGAGAAGCACAAAAATATCGTCAGCAGCTCCTAAAGAAAGAACAAGAAGCAGAGGCCTATCGGCAGAAGTTAGAGGCAATGACCCGCCTCCAGACTAATAAAGAAGCTGTTTAATAAAAGTGAACATACTGCAAAGCCTGTTACTTTCCAAAACCTGCAGTACAATCTTGAACTGTACACTATATAGGTACAGATGCAGGATTACATGATAGAGAAGATGCTACAAGTTGATAACTGGACTTAAGCCGTGAGCTCTCATTAATTTCTTGTAACATAAAAACTCTGAATTTAGAAATTGTGAAAAGTATTTAAAATGAAATACTGTAAATAGTTGGTTTTTTTACAGTTTCAAAATGAGTTGATAAATCTTTTTGAAGGGATCCAGAAACACGAGAAGCCAATGTTTTTGTGAAATTTTTGATTTTAGTATGAATCTAACTTCTGAAAAACAGAACAGTTTTAAGGGTGATATTGTTGATTTAAGCCGACAACTTGAAAATTATGTGACAAAATGATTTAACAGTTATTTCTACATGGTAACAACTTAAACTTCTCTGAGTAAGACATTTCCAAGTGGAAATCTTTGTACAGCTTTAAGTAGTTGTCTCAGATTCTCTGAAAACCATTTTTGGTTTTGTTTTTTTTATTTTAGGTGGTGAAATTTTTATATTTAATTTCAGATATATCCAAGTAGATTTACATGTATATGAAGCTAATATTTTTTAAACTTTTCAGTTTGTACATATGCTGCATGTTTTTATAATTTCTACACATACATCTTGCATAGGTATTTTTCAGCAAAGATGAGGAAAATTATAAGGAAAATTACGAGGAAAATGTTTAGCTTATATGTCATTGGAAGTAAGCAGCCAGTTTAATTGTGGATGGTATATTTGTTGGAAGAATGTAATTTGTAATTAAAAACAAAAAAAAAATCTTCATTTACATACGAGGTGTGATTTAAAATTTGGTAGTGGAGGCAGCGAAACTTCACTTTGTGTCTTACAATTTTCATGCACAAGCATTTAAAAGTTCAGTAATGCATAGGAAAGAATGTCTCCACTGGAACGCAAATAGTAGTTCTTTTAGGATATTCCTATTGATCTCTTTTTCCCAATAGCCTTGAAATCATTTCAGTGATACCTTTTTTTCTAAATGGACTTTTGCATTTTAATTATGCAATTGGACAAGTAATTTTTTTATGTTGTGATGCTCCTCTTACCCAGCATCATTGTTCTTCACTGTGATACTGTGTTTCTGTGTGTCTGTGCAGTGATCTATTATGGTTAGGATTTATATAGCACATTACATCTTCAGAGCGTTGTAAAATCTTTTAAAGAGCCCTTACTGTACTGCCTGAGGCAGGTAAGTGAGTGTTACTGTCTCAATTTTATAACTGATACAAGTGCAACACAGGGAGTGTTAAATGACTGCCCCAAGACCACATGGATCTGTGGCAAACCTGGGAATAGATCTCAGGAGTTCCTGGCTTCTAGTCCTGTGCTTAGACTGAGCTGCCTTAAGATTGTTCAGTGCTGTTGTACATTAAATTTTGAACTACTGTGCAGATTCCTTTTTTTGTAAGATAAAACTCTTCGTGCTTTGCTTTGTTGTTCCATGTTTCACTGCTTTTATGGAATTGTTTATATAAACTTAAGCAAAAAGTCTAGTTTACCTATACTGTACACAGAAAAATTACCCTTAAAACTGTACTCTGGCCTACTTTTTCTATTTTACAATTAAATATCTTTTCCACATACATCTATTGTAGAATCAGTTCCATTTCAATTTTTTTGTATGTACATCAAGGTCAAACCTGTGTTGTGTCAGCTTTCAGAAAAATAAGGAAAAACTGGTTTTAGGATTAGAATGGACTTCAGAGTTAGGAGGGAGGTGTGGGGAAAGAATTGCATAACACAGTACTGAAGTAAAACCTTCCTTCTTCAAACTTTGATTTGGGTTTATAGAATTGGCAGTTAGGAAAAAATCCTAAATATTCTAGTATTGGTAAAAATTTGGCAAGTTTGATCCCATTTGGGAAATTAGGATGAAATTATTGGCAAAGAATCAAAATATATAAAAAAGGGGAAAAGCTGTGCTGGTGGTTTTTAGAATTATTATTTTTCAAGTATATAATCCTGCTCAGTTGGTACTTGAAGCAAGCGTTATGCAGTGACTAACTGGAAATAGCTACTTTTTTTTTAGAAACTCCATTATGTCACTAGCGAGTGTAGGAACCAGTTAGTCAAGATAAATGCTGGTTAGGCATTTCTCCGATTGAATTATTCTATGATCAAAATAATGTTTGTGTCCTCACATCCCACAGACTTAACTGCAGTTTAATCTCTGTGAACTCTTCACAACGATAAGAATTCAGCGTTGGTCTGGGCAGTGATAGTGGTAATGTTCACCTCCAAATGGAGCTTTCCCACGGTTTCGATGGCACAGACCTTTGGAGCAAACAATGAAAAGAACCTTGTCTATTAATCCTGCTTCCTGTGAGCAAATATTCTATTCCTCATTGTCTGAAACAAAATCCTTGCAAGTGCAGGGTAGCTATAACAGAAACTTATCACCAGCAATATTTACCGTACCTGTAATTCATTATCACTTATTTTATTCTAGTTCCGAACAGGACCTGCTGTTTGTTCTCTTCTACCCAGAATGAGAAACCAGCCTGATGAAACTATCACCTTTGAGCAGAAGCATAGGGTATATGTCACATGGAGTATTTACTGTGTAGTTTAGCTCTGGAAACGTTAAAAGTATTGTTCCTTATTTGCTGTTCCAAATTGAAGTCATAAATGTAATTAGCTACCAGCTTTCCTTGAGCAGACGTCCACATATTGAAGTAATGCATTAGTTACTTGTAATGAGGTACAGTCACAGTTTCTGAGAACTCTGAGCTCTTTTGGTGTCAGTCCTGTGCTTGATGCTAGCCCCTTATCACCTTCTTTGTTACCGTTTTAGGGAGCATTTACAGCAAAGCCAAGAGAGGCTCATAAATTGATACTTAGCGTGGGCAGTTTGTTAATTTTTTCCCTAATGTTTCCAGAGAAATGTGAGATAAAGCAGATGAATATGCATACAGTATTTTTTTCCTGCACTACATGCACTTCCTCTTTCAATGCTTTTTATCTTCTTTCAATTTCAGTATATTAATCTGATGAGCATGTATCAGCATCTTTGTCATATCTATGAAACAGTTCTGTCATAGATATCTAATCACAGCAAAATCTAGGAAAGGTTTTCACACTGTTCATAGAATCACAGAATAGTTAGGGTTGGAAAGGACCTTAAGATCATCAAGTTCTAACCCCCCTGCCATGTTCTGTAGAAAGTACACTGGATAAAGATGTAACAACTTCCTAGAATAATGAAAGCATTTGGGCTACACTATAGTACATGAAGCAGAGAACCAAAGCTGCTCTGCCAGTTCTCTTCCATATGATGAGAACAGAGAAACTGCTTCCGCATATCAGACAAAAGGCCTGCCAAAGCAAAGGGTCTGCAGAGGCAGCTATTCTGTCTCAAACAGGGCCAGCCCTAAGCAGGAGCACAGGGTATAACAAAAATAGGATGAGTATGTACTGTACTACAGAATAATTTCTCTTTCTGGTGCTTAATCCTTAAGTCTTACCTCTCTCTTTTCCCAGGGCTGCCTGATATCAGTGTAGAGCAAGTGAGGTCCTTCTGTTGAAGATAAGTGCTCAACATTGAGTCAAACCAGTGTCAAAGGTAGTGCTGCCAAAGAGGTCAGGAAGTATTTTTGTGTCCTGAAACTGAAACAAGGAAGAATCTACATGGCTGTTCTTCCAAACTGAGAACAGTCTAGTTGGAGGACTTGGAGGAATTTTGGAGATACAAGGCCAAATCCCAGTACATATATGAGAAAAGAAGCACAGTGGTGGAGGAGAAAGAGGCATTTTCCCAGTTCAGCAATCTAGGGTGATACGAGTGGAGGAACATCACCTTGCAGTGTAACCTGGTCTGATCTGGAAGGACAGGAAATCCACAGAGAGGATCACTGCTGCTTTGTATTGCAGTTCTGCAACTGGCAATAATCGCAGTGCCTTCTCTTCTGGCAGCAAGAGACTTGACAGCATAGGTGTTAAATGTGTTAGGTGCTGGTGCCTTGTTTTAATGACTACTGTTAGCACAAGAGTTTGGTGCCCAAAAGTAACATGGGCACTTACTTGCTTTTGGAAGCTCTTGAGCTTTTTCTCTCCCTCAAGTCTGATGTTAATGTGTCGTATATTCATGACATACATTACTGCGAGACTTCTGAAAGATTGTTTAAAAATGGGAATGGGTTAGCGCAGAGGCAGCTCCTCTTAGAGATACACTATCGTGCACATCAAAAGAGCACAGATGAGAATATACGAGAGACTGTAAAAGCCCTCAGCTGGGAGGAGTTAGATAATAATCTGCCTACGTTAAACCTTTTCCAGAATGCATGAGTCTGAGAGATAAAGGGAGCTATAAAGGGTGAAGCAGCGAGCAGGGCACCAGACCAACTGCCCGCAGTACCTGAAAGGTCGTAGCCCAGGCTTGAAGAGGTGCTTTTAGAAGGAATCGGTATGGACCCTGAAGAGTACAGACGGAGAGGTGAGTGATCCTCTGCTCTTGGAAATGAGTATCATTTGCTCACAGAGATCAACTGTTGTAGGGCTGGGAGTGGTACCCAAAACTTGTATGGGGTATATATATTCTTTATTTGTACACATGTCCTTGAGACTTAGATCTGCTGAGGCTGAGGCAAAAATGCCCCCACAGTTGAGTAAATTGTGTCCCAGAGTTGAGTTTAAATTAATGGATTTAGAGTCAGTGGATAACTTAGGTTTTTTTGGCCTTAAATTTAAAATACTGTGGCATAGCTGCAAAGCTTGTGATAAGGTGTCACAGTGGCTCTTCCCTGGCTGACACCATGAAACCTCAGTGATACTTGCACAGTTCTAGAGATGGGAAGGAAACGTTGGTCCTAGGGCGGGAGGAGGTTGCATAAGTGGAGAAAAGGCGTGGAGTTGTGTAGCTCTTTTCAGGGGATGCAAAACTGGGTATGTTGCAATGACAGGGAAGTATGGGGTATTATGAAACATTAATTTCTGTGACATGCAGTTTCAGTTATTTTGTAGGCAAGAAAATCTTTCTATCAGTAATCAAACCAACCATACTTGTATCCTGATAGTATTTTAAAGGTACTTTTGAACTATTCAATGAGGACACTGAAATAACCCTGTGAATCTGTTCTGTTCCCGTGAAGCCTTTTCAAGAAGCTGTGTCTCTGTGTTATTAGGTGGGACAAGCAGGGTGTAGGAGGAAGGTTAATTCCTGTGGCTATCTTGGAAGTAGGATTCCAAGCCATGTCTAATGCTAAGATTGCATGAACTACTAGTACTGCTAGTTAGTTTTCCCACAACTGAAACTCAGAACACTGGTTTGCCTCTTCCAGGGAAAGAGATGGTGGATTACATTTGCCAGTACCTGAGCAATGTGAGAGAGAGACGGGTGACTCCTGATGTGCAGCCAGGTTACATGAGAGCCCATTTGCCGGATTCTGCCCCAATGGACCCAGACAGCTGGGACAACATCTTTGGAGATATAGAGAAGGTTATTATGCCCGGGGTAAGAAATAGATTATTCCTGTCATGACCATACTTTATTACTACTTGGGGTGAACACCAAATCCTGGGAACACACAGCTTCTGCACAACACTTACCTAAACAAGTGAAGCACCCAAAATGTAGAATGTCTTGTAGATATGTCCACAGAACGCTTCTGGCTATTATCGTTGTGTTCCCATCTACAATTTTAGGGCATAGGCTGAATATATTTTTTAAGTATTTTATATATTAAGAATAACTCATGCTTGCTTAGGGGGAAACAAGGATTTTCTGACACTAATGAATTTAGCTTCACAAGGCCTGAACTGCATCATCTCAATTTCAGAGATGTGGAAGCTCAGGCACAGCAAGGTGAAACATCATTTGCCCAAGGTCATTACACAAGACGTGACTCCTGCTCTTTGAATGTTCATGTCTCCTTCCTTTTGTACATAAATAGTGCAGATTCTGCTAAGGGAGTTCATATACCTACTTAAATGGCTTATGTAAGAAATATGTTTTAAATTTTTCTTTATATATGCTTGCAGAAACTCGGTCTGATGTAGGAGAGGTATTCACATTAAACGCGCTTATGCCAGTGTCCCACATATAGGCTCCTTCAGGTGTATAGAGTGGGCTATACAACTGTAAATTGTTGTGTGTAGCTAAAGGCAAGCTGTTGTTTGACAAAGTGAGCCAGAGCAACTTTGTTGCAAGGATTTCCCTTAAAGATAAATATTTTGATAAATATTTCAGCTGTTGTACCATGTTCAAAAGACCATTATTTCCTGTTCAGAATCTTTGTCTGCCTGTTCAATTCAGATAAATGCTTTTGCTATAATTTGGAATTTATCTAATAACGATACAGTGTTATCATTTGCTAATGCTGCACTCCTGTCAATATTATCTCTGTAGCTTTCTGCTAGCACATGTATAATTGCACAAAAATTGGACATGCTGCTGTGAACCTTTTCCATCACTTTAAACAGATGCTAATCACTACATCTTATGTAGAATTTTGTGACGTTTTCATTACTTTGAATAATTTTGTTCTAGGTAGTCCATTGGCAAAGTCCACACATGCATGCCTACTTTCCAGCTCTTACTTCCTGGCCTTCGCTCCTTGGAGATATGTTAGCTGATGCAATTAACTGCTTGGGATTCACATGGGTAATTTTGTTGTTGTTATTATTTTAAATATTCATCTCCTGTGTGCATTGTGTAGGAGCAGATCATGGTCATTCTTTCTTGTTCTGTGAGTCAGTATAATTATTTACTTCAACCAACTGTATGTTGTTTGCATAAATGAAAAATGTCACTTTAAAAATTAAAAAAAAAAAAAGAGCAAATGTCACCTACTAGTAAGAGGTGAATGAAGAAAATACATCACTAGAAATGTCTATTTTCTAATTCTTTGTATATCCCACTGTAAGCAGTGTTTCTTGCTGTCTAGTCTTGGTGCTGAGATTGTTACATAAGCACTGTAGGCAATGGAGCAGCCACCATCCATGACTGCAGGTTAGGTTGGGCTTCATTCCAGTTCTCCTGTTCCCTTGAGAGAACACATTTCTTATTTTTCCTGTTCCGAAAATAGTTGTTTGGTGGCATGTTCCAGAATATCTGAGCACTTTATATCCTCCTGCAGCAGCTACATAGTGCTATTTGGTTATGACTTTACATACCTCAGTAGCATTCTAAAGCTGTGGTGAAATTGTCCAGATTTTTAGATGTGTGTCTCCATGTAAGAAAGCAATAGAAACTCGTAAACCTATAAAAAATTGTCATGTTCTCCATGTAGTTTCGATAGGTTTCTATTAAGTTTGCAATGTAAACCAATTCTTTCACATGTGGAAAGCTGGACACTGCAGGACAGCTTTCACCTTTCTTTTTCTGCTCTTCAAAAAGTCTCCCTAAAACGTATCAGTGCCCTTTCTTTTAGGGACCTAGGGCATGTACTTGGGTGGTGAACTGCAGTTCCAGGGTTTTATCTCAAGTGGCTCATTGTGATTCTAATTTTTTGTAATGACTCTAAGATTATTGGTAATTCAGAAGCTCAGCCCTGAGGTGATGCAGATAGTCTGAAGACAGCCTTTTAAGGAGGTTGCTGAGATTCTCTGGTATTCCAAGAGAGCAGCTGGTAATGAGCAAGGTAGCTGGAGCTCACCCTCAACTGCAACCTTAGCATAGAGGTCTGCATTACAGAACTCACCAAACAAGTAACTTTCATCCCAATAGTGTTGTGTTCTGCTAGGTATGGGCCATAATATTACACAGCTGCTTATATATGCAGTGCTACAAAGCTTGTCATCTGCCTTTGTTGCATCTAGGGGAGATTTCTCTCAAGGCAATTAAAATGTGTTAACGCAGTAAAGCACATATCACATTTTAATTACTAGCTAAGGGCTATGCTCCTGCTATGCTTGCAGGAGGAATTACAGCCTGATTTTCTTTTTATTCTATTTTTCTAGGCCTCCAGTCCAGCCTGTACAGAACTGGAAATGAATGTGATGGATTGGTTGGCTAAAATGTTGGGCCTTCCGGATAAGTTCCTGCACCACCATCCTGACAGTGTGGGTGGAGGAGTGTTACAGGTAGGAGGAATCAGAGATGGCCTCGTCATGTTTTGTTTTATTTTCACTCAAGTGAATTTCCCTCTGGGGGATAGCTTTCCTGGAGGAAAAACCAAGGACATTTGCTCTATAGGTCTGATTAGAGAAATATACCAATTTGACACTGCTTTCCCAAATTTTAGTATTAAATATAGAAGATGATAGGAGTTGCTCTTGCTTTTAGTCCTTATTATGTTACAGGCAAGGAGCAGGTGCTCTTGTGGCCTTAGTAAGGCCAAATGAGAGTCAGATTTGTATCCTTCATACTGTTTCACATCAAATTAATCACTGAAGTGATCCTTCCATGATTAGAGAAGGAATCTTTGTAATGGTCCTTCTGCCAGCAGTCCTTAGCCACACAAGATACTCTTTTTCTCATGTCTTTGTGTCTGAAACTTGCAAGATCAAAGCCTGAACGTTTATCTCCTTTCATAAGGCCTTAGCAAGTATCCCCCGGAATCAGTGTTGAGGCTTTGTGTTGTTATAAGGAGCTTTGCTCAGGTTTGAGATTTCTATGGAAGATACTACATTGTAGCTGTAGAAGAGCAAAACGAAAATGTGATTTAGTTACTCCCCCCAGCTCAGTCCTGCATGATAAAAATGTACAGTAGTTTAAAGGCTTTGTTCTGTGGTGGTGGCCCAGAGAGCTGCTCATCACTAGTGACTTGCCATCACATCCCAGAAAAGTGGTAGTAGAAATAGGAGAGAGTGCGGGCAGCTGAACAGTTCAGTGACTTCAGTAAGTCTTGGATAAAATAGCAATGAAGTGGCAATATGTTGCAATAAATGAGCAATGTCTTTGCAGAGCACTGTGAGTGAATCAACCTTGGTTGCACTGCTAGCAGCAAGGAAAAACAGAATTCTGGAGATGAAGGTTTCTGAGCCAGACACTGATGAGTCCTCACTCAATTCTCGCCTCATCGCTTATGCGTCTGATCAAGTAGGTTCTTAGGGTTACAAAGAAAAATTTGCTTCTGCTGCCTCACCCAGGTCATACAATATGAACTTGCTTTTCTGTTCTAAGGGGAGAACACATACAGGAATGCTGTACAAGCCTGAATGAATCCCTCTAATGTTATTTTCTGCAGATGGGGAAACGAAATCTGTGGGATGAGGTTTTGTAGGGTCCCAGCAGTTCTCAAGGTGCTGTCTTATGTGACTTGGTTTTTCATTTCCTTCCTGATTTTCACCAAGCCTTACTCCAGTAACAAGGTGCTGATGTCATGCTGCTTCAACTCATTTTGCTTCACATCCTCCTTCCACTCAGGGACAGGCACACTCGGGGCATTACCTCAGTGCTGCTCCTGGTTGTGGCCTCCACTCTAGGCCTCTGTGCTTGTTCATGGATGAAGTATCTACACAGTACTGTGCCTCTGCCTGCAAACCTGTTCTGTCCTTGGACTCTTGAACAGTCTGTTCCCCTGTGAAAACTGAAACAGGAGAGATGCTCATGCTGGTTCTTTATTGGTATAACTAAAAGGGCTTTTTCTTGTGAGGGAGTAGTGCCAGAAGTAGGTGCACTTCAGGGTGTTTTAATCTTTGTATGGCAGGGAGAAAGGAATAAATTGAGGTTGATCCATTTTTAGAGGCTCTTTTAAGATCTGAGTTTTGATAAGTGGCCCTCCAAAAGCAAGATGAGGATGCCTGTGATTACATTTTAGAGATAAGTACCCAAATAAATGGAGCATATGCATTCCTTGGAATTACAGTGTATTATTTCTTTTAGTTACATGCAAGGAGGAAACTTTCAGACTTGTATTAATATGGATTATTATTGTAATATCATTATAAGGACCTTATCTCTGCTTTTCTTCCAGCCACTGTCTTTTACAAGGCCATAATTTATCACAACTGTTCAGCTTTACAGCTTGCTTTCTTACTTTTATTTTTTTTTAAGGCACATTCTTCTGTAGAAAAGGCTGGCTTGATTTCTCTTGTGAAGATGAAATTTCTACCTGTGGATGAGAACTTTTCCCTCAGAGGTGAAACTTTGAAGAAAGCCATTGCAGAAGACAGAAAGAAGGGCCTGGTGCCAGTCTTTGTATGTAAACTTTCTGCCTGGGGTATTCACATAGTGTTGTATTTTTAATGTCAAGATAAAATTACATCTGAAACATTTCTTATTGTGTTAAAATACATTAGTGAAGGTTAAAAGGTATAAAAGAATTTCTGTTTTATTGAACAAAAAATATCGATACACTTGCAACTGTGACAGCCTCTCCGCACTGAAAGCATTGCATCCATTTACTAAAAAAATGCCAACTCAACAGGTTTGTTTTCTTCTAGGTTTGCGCAACGCTGGGTACAACTGGTGTCTGTGCTTTTGACAATCTCTCAGAACTGGGTCCAATTTGTAAGTGGGGTTTTTTTTTCCCAATTTTAAATTATATTAGCACAGAAGAGTATGAGAATTTTTCATGCCAAAGCCAATGAGAGCAGAAATGCTCGTCAGCTGAGTTTTTCCGAGTCTCAAAGATCAGTGAAGGCAATGAAAGACTTTGTAGTGATTTCTGGAAGATTTAGATTAAGATGTAAAAATACTTTCTGTTCAAGATGGATGACATTTTCCAGCTAATACATCTTTAATGTGGTTATTCATGGACTACAGACTGTACAGTACAGAGTGCAGTACTGCTGCAGGGTGGATACATAAATATTTAACGTAGAAAGGAGTTTCGAAGGTAGTGTTTGGTAGGGTGTCCTTTGTAGCTACCAGTTCAATAGGTAGTTTGTGGTTGCAGATTCTATTCCAGCATAAATCCTGACAAAACCCTGTGGCATTTCTTTCTGTGGGTCAGAGCATGGCTTCTGTCTCTGGGACCATTTTGCTTGCCACTGTGTCTTTTTTCTGGCTTTGTGGAACTGAGTTGTGCTGGGGAATTTCGCTTAGGAAAAAGGCAGATAAGAGAAATCAAACATTAAAAAGCCTCACACATATGTAATGGTGAATTTTGTTACAGAGTCCATCTAATTTCAGCATTATCCTGTATTTTGCAGTTCTGGATGCACAATTTTAGAGTAAAAACAGGTTGTTAATTGTTTGTCTTGCTCATTGTCAGGCCATCCAACCCTGCAAGAAATTGCACCTAGTTTTCAGAGAGGAGAGATTAAGCATGCACTTTGATTCCTTATGTCCCTGACATACCAATTCCAATTCCATTAGGTGATGCTGAGGGACTCTGGCTTCATATTGATGCTGCGTATGCAGGAACAGCATTTGTATGTCCTGAATTCCGATTGTTCTTGAATGGAATCGAATATGCAGATTCCTTTACTTTCAACCCGTCTAAATGGATGATGGTTCATTTTGACTGCACTGGATTTTGGTGAGTAAAGGCAAAACACAAACACTACCAGAAGGATAGCATGCAAATTGCTAAGTCTTTCTCTGCATGATTTTTTTTGCTAAATACAGTTCATTCTGCAATTGATAGGGTCAAGGATAAATGCAAGTTACATCAGACCTTCAGTGTTAACCCTCTCTACCTCAGACATCCGAACTCAGGAGCTGCTGTTGATTTCATGGTAAGTTATTTGAGTTGATATTTTAAGTTGCATATAAAATGTTCAAACAGACTGCTAAATACTTCACACTCTGGAGCATGCTTCTCTTATAGCTAGTCTCATTACATAAAAGCCTAAACCCAATTATACTGAGATGCTAATGCAGATTAAATAACAAAAGCGAGCTCTGGTATGAAAATGAATTATTAAACCTGCTTTTAGATCTAGAGATCAAAGTACTTGATTTTTACAGATGGGAATACAGCCTTGTCTTTTGGAATAGAAGGGTCATTTCTCTGCATTGTGTTGCTGAAGTAATTCCTGCTGATGGCATTTTAGTTGGTTTTCTTGTATGTCTCATAGGTAGTAATAGAGAGAGAAAGGAGTAAGCAAACGCCCAGGCTCTGGAACAGCAGTAGTATGAATTACATTTTTTTTTTTAGATTGAGGTATTCACAGGGGAGCTAAGAGGCATTTTTCTATCTTACAGGAGCTTTCAGTAAGTAAACCAAAGGAATATTCACTGCCAATTGTTTCTGCTATGATCTCACCCTAGTCCTGAAAAGATAATTGTTTTCTTGAAATCAATAGTGCTTTTCAGTGGGGACTGTGAGTGTACAGAGGGGCAGAAAAAATACATCAGTGGGTCCCTCTTGTGGTTAAATAGGGCCCTGCATGTAGTTGTGTAGCTCCCTAGAGTATTCCTTTACATGCTCTGTCACTCTTTTCCATGCAGCAGCCGTTACTTCCTCTGGAAGTCTAACCCTGTATCACCTCTCACTGTTTATGGTTGATCTGGGAGAACGTTCAGGGTAGAACTTAAATACTCAAATTACAGGAACTGAAGTGAGCACTCAGTCCTACAGTGTAAATGGACACATCATAACTTGATAATGCCCTTTAAATAAGCAAAGGTGGTGTTATTAGCTAGTAATTAACTAAAAACTTGAAGCATATCTAGGCCTTAGATTAAGGGGAATATCCAAGATCTTACTTTGGCAAATAATTGAGAAAACTCTAGATGTAGTGTTTCTTTGATGGCTGTTTTCTAGGCTTGGCAGATTTTCAGTAGTATGAAATGACTTGTGTCAAGACCCAAGTCCTAAAGAACAACAGTAGCAGGGTAAGGGGGATGCTCCTTTCTGTTGTTTCTGCATTGATACCTGTTGTGTTTTCACAGCACTGGCAAATTCCACTGAGTCGTCGATTTCGTTCTTTGAAGCTGTGGTTTGTGATTCGTTCATTTGGAGTGAAAAAGCTTCAAGATCATGTCCGACATGTATGTGAATTCACAATGGAAGCACAACTGTATTATGCTTACTTACTGGTAGCTAAGTTGAATAAATTCAGTGAAGCAAAGATGAGCAACAGAAATTCTCCCACACACAAAGCTTGCGTGTGAACACTAAATGCGTGCTGATTTTACTCTTAAGTAATCTCTAAAGATTGACTGTGTAGACAAAACATTTCCTGTACCCTTCTGGAAAGCAACAGGCAATGAAAAGTGACTTGATAAGTCAGTGCCTTCTGCATGTTACCGAGTACTGATCTGTAGAAGCTTTCTTTGAGGCAAAGTGGCAGCTGTTTGGGAGGCAGGCTTAGATGAATGGCTGAACCCATAGCTATGAAAATTTACAGGCTTAAGTCCTTGATGGAGTGTAAATACAAGGGGTCATATTGTGGATCAGCAGTTGCCACAAAATGACTCTAATCTGAGAACACATTCTGTTTTCAGACCTTCTAGAAAATTCCTATGTGTAGTCCAGTTACTCTGGTTCATTGTCAAGGGTTTGGGTAAACAGACTTTCAAATATTGTTGTCATTCTTCTGTTTGCTGCTACTCATACACTGGAATGATATGTTCCAATAAGGAAAGGAATTCTTTTTAACTACTTATTGTCTACAGTGGGTTTGTGACAAACCAATACATGACTACTTTTATTCCTCAATTACAGGGTACTGAAACAGCCAAGTTCTTTGAATCCTTGGTTAAAAGTGATCCACTCTTTGAAATTCCTGCCAAAAGACATCTTGGACTGGTTGTATTTCGAATAAAGGTAAAGATAGGTCCTTTTGCATGTCTCTGAAATGAATTGACCATAGCTGATCTTTCCCCAGACGTTAAGAACTATGAATAAACTTTCATGTAAGAATTCGTAATGCTGGAATTCTTATGGAGATGTGTGGATGTCACTGGAAATTCTAACTATGGGGTTTTTTTCTTCTTATTCATATTTAAAACAGGGTCCCAATTGGCTCACAGAAAAACTCCTGAAAGAACTAAGCAATTCTGGCAGGGTCTTCCTTATTCCAGCAACCATTCGTGACAAGTTCATCATTCGGTTTACTGTAACATCTCAGTTCACAACCAGGGAAGATATTCTGCAAGACTGGAACATCATTCAACACGCTGCAGCCCGGATTGTTAGCCAGAATTGTGGGTTGCATTGCATCAGTTCTGGTGATGGGCCAGGAATCCCTAATACGATAGTTGAGCCTAGTTCAGATGCCATTAGTAATGCTTCTCAGCTTTCCCCAGATGGAGGAAAATACAAAACACCTTCCAGAAAAATAGTAGTTCAGCCTAAGAAGCTAGCAGCAAGTCCCAGTACGTGTGCGATTAGTCAAGGGGATCTTCTAGATGACTGTTTTCCAGAAGATGCCCAGGATGTTACCAAACATAAGTTAACATCTTTTTTATTCAGTTATTTATCTGTTCAAGGCAAGAAAAAGACAGCACGTTCCCTTAGCTGCAACAGTGTGCCAGTGACTGGTGGTCTTGAGCCATGTAACCCCAAAGCAGCAGCCACTGACAAGAAGGAGTCTCATGAAAATACCAGAATTCTTTCCAGGCTGCCTGAAGAGGTGATGATGTTCAAAAAAAGTGCCTTCAAAAAACTAATTAAGTTCTACAGTGTTCCAAGCTTTCCAGAGTGTAGCATTCAGTGTGGCCTTCAGCTGCCTTGTTGTCCTTTGCAAGCCATTGTTTAACAAGTGAAAGAGATTGGTCCTTAAGATTACTCCAGGTAGAAAGGGAACCAAAGTTTGCTTATTCATATGCAATACTACATGTTATTTTGTTCAATATGTAAGCATCGGCAGTGACCATTGAGAAAATCCCTGTGCTTTTACTGGTGGAAACCTCGTGTATCTATAGATTGTCAAATAAAACTTGTAGGCATATAATAATAAAACTCTCTGGTTTGTAGACTGTGGTAAAGAAAATGCCAGTTTCTGCCTTACCAGTCCTGGTAATGGACACTTTCTAGCTGGCAGGCTAGAACCATTCTAACCAAATATGCTGGCTTCAGTAGGGGGTAAACTATGCAGTCCTATATTTACACTTTATATACCTTGACTTAAACCACTGAGAGGCTCTGTGTGTGCAGACAATGCCAGCATCAGTTCTGAACTGTGCAAAATGAAGGGTGCAACCTCTCAATGAGGTTTTGCTGTATTAGGGCAATTTTAAAACATGCCAAGTTTAAAAACGGAGCAGCCATGCCATCCTCTCTGCTGATCAGTGACAGTGCACTGGTGTGCAAGAGCAGGGGCCTTTGCTAAGCACCTGTGGCCTTTCTCAGCATTACCTAAAGGCTGTAAAACACAAGTGCATGAGGAAAGAGAACAGGAATGATCTTTCACCCTTTCTCATAACAGAAGAATTAAGGGGCATTACAGAAGGGGTCTCTATGCAGCAAACAAACATTGCCACAACAGGCCAATGATTTACATATGTTTCAAGAGTAATTAAAAATGGGGGCAGAAAAATCTGTGGAGGGCAATTTTATACTGTTAAATCAAGAAGCATGATGATCATTAGGAGGTTATCCTGGGAAAGCACTGCTGAGTGCTTGCTGCCTTTGTAGTTGTTCCCAGACACCTACAATCACCCCATCTTGAAGGCAGCATACTCAGCCAGATAGTTTCAGTCTGACCCAGTACAACTATGCTCAAATTATATAAGCAGTACATCTGGTTAGTCAAAACAATTTCCATACCCTTAAACAACACCACCTGAACTCACAGTGGGGTATACTGAGGCATGTGTTACAAGGAGCAGTAAAATTTAGTTTGCTAAATTTTTTCTAGTAAGAACAAATTTATTTCATTCCATTCCATAATCTTGCCTTTTTTTTAAATGCTAGGGAAATTTAAGCCTCACTTTTTTATTAAGTGTCTGGCCTGACATTACTCTCTTTGCGCCCAAAGGAAAATACATCTTAGTTCTTATAAACTGTTTTCATTCTGTGTATGTAGTATTTGGTGCATGAAAAATAAGAGGACATCTCTGCTGCAATGGAGAAAAGTTAATGTAAGCATCTAATGCAGACTTTTTTCAATTAGTTAATTTAGACAACTGTAAGTTTAATGGTCTTTTATAATGGGTTTTGTGTTTTTGACTGAGGTATATAATTCTTACTAGTGCAGTGGATCTCCCTTTAATATAAATTATTTGTATAAAGATGTGACATTGTACCCACTTTCACATATTTAGGTGCACAGTATTAACATTCACAGCATTAACAATACTTCTATACACAGAGGAAGGTAGACAAGATTCAAAGCATGAACGAGGGAAGAAGCCAGGCTAAGATACAAATAGCATTGGTGAAGTTCTGTTTTATTAAAACAATCTCACATTCACACTTTATTTCAGACACTGATAGTTGCTAATATTAATGAACTAAAATATTTCCTGGCAAAGTTACAATAACAGATACTTTAAAAACTGAGTATTATAAAACACAGGTTGTTTTGGGGTTGTTTTTTTTTTTTTTTTACTTGCTCACAATTTGAGGTCATGGTTTTTTACTGAATTATAAATGTCCTGGGTCATTTGTACATACAGGTTTTCTCTGTCATCTAGGAAATACAGGCGATCTTTGATGACTGCTGGATTGAAACTCTCCTCCATTAGTTGTACTTTACGGTACTTAAAAGTTGCTGTAAGTTCAATGGCACTCTAAAACACAAAATTACATCTCTACTTATCAATGTCAGCATATAATTGTGGGAATTAGATTAGATCCCCTAAATTTAAAGGGAATCCTATTTAAAGAAAATCCATACAGCACAGAAGTTGAAGCCTCAGTAATAGAGGTCTAAACTATCTGCATTCATCAGATAATAACCGGACTTTGGAATATGTGGGCTGGTAATTACTCTGAATGGTGTGGTAATTACCCTGAAATTGCTGGGCCACAGACACATAAATGAAAGGCTTACCTTACTATTTGATTTGAAAGAGGCAGGAAAACACGAGTTTTTAACTATTAGACAGAATCAAGGGGTTTATCTAGAAATACTTAATTATGTTCTCTGATCAATAAACGAGATTTTTTTTTTCTCAGCAAAGTAAAGAAAATGTCAGTTGGAGACTGACAAAGACTGTACTTTACGTGGAACGGCAAGGCAAACCACTGCCTTGACTGGTTAACTGTTTTGTTTGTAGAGCTCAAAAGTTTAAAGGCTAATTAAACAGGTAGACACGGTAGTATCTCTGTGTTAGTCCTCTTGAATCACCCCAGTGAATATGCAACATTTCTCAAAGGAGCAATGTTTATTTTAAATAACTTGAGAAGTATGGTGGGAGTGATATTGCAACGTTTTCCTAACGTAGGTTAAACTTCCGTTCAGAATTTGGCTACTTACTCACTGGTAGAATAAAAATCTAAGGCCTCTCTCACAAAAAACAACTCTTGTATTTGCTTGTGTGTGGATCTTTATTTTGCACAGAACAATCTGTAGAGGGAGCAACACTGAAGGGAGAACACACCCGTATTAGTGTGCTGAAGGAATACAATAGGAAATGTATTTTCCAAGAGAATTTCCTGATTTCAAATGTTAAAATGTGACAGGTATCCATCCTGCAACTGCTCTTGCAACTTGTTTTTTTTTCAGGCTGAACTGAAACATCTGGGTGCAGTTGTACTTACATACTGGTAAATGACAAGAGCAAGTGAGAGATTAAAAGACGCCTTTTTGAGAATTGCTAGTGTAAGTAGGAAGTCTGTAGTCCTCATAGAAAATAGAAGAAACACAATGCGGATGGACACACAAAAGCGACTTAGGAACACTGGTTTACCTTAATCCTTATAAAACGAGGTCTTGCATATTTTGGAAGGTGAGTTTTAACGTGTCTGTAAGTACTTTCTGCATTAAATTCAGAGTTTTCCTTTAGTCGAATACATGCCATTCCTGTTCTGCCTTCATAACCTGAAGGAATAATGCACAAAACTATAGTTCATATATTAATCTGAACTTCAGACTAAGCTCTTCTACTTTGTTTTTGGTTTTTGCCTTCTAAGCCACTTTAGAAAACATTCTAACATATTTTCCGTTACACATCTAAGTGATTAGATTTTCTTAAGGCTTCACCAGGCTAGATGCCAAACTGTTTTTAAAGCCTAGCATCAGAACTACAGATGGCAGATATTTTGAAAATCATCCATCTTTTGAAAGTCTTTGGAAAGACTCTGGAAAATCAGCTCTTGGTAGTCTGAGGCAGAAGTCTGCCTGCAGCAGCATTTAACTGTGTGAGTTAATTTGCTTTACAATACATCACTGTAAACATGCTTGTACTGACAAGCTCATCCATGCAGAACGAGGACAAAAAGTAGTAATACCAAGTTTACCATTGTTTTTTACCATATGAATGCTGCAAAAATCCAAGGACTTCAGATTTTTTTTACTTGCCCAACTACATACTGAGAGGGCTTCTTCTCTCCTGTTTTGGTGGTTGAGGGATGGGATGCCACTTAAACCACAAAACTCTTGGTATTCCCTTTTCTGGGATTACAGGTAATGCAAGAAGAAATAGTTAATATTCTTATACAAAGTTTTACATTACAACCATATGCATGCTTTCACAGAACTGTGTACGGGAGTAAGTGAAAACAGAAAGTAGAATCTAATCCTTACAGAAAAGCACAAACATAAGCTAATTTAAGATCAGTTTTTCTTCAGTTTCTTTCGAATTTTGTTTCTGTTTGCCTTTAACGCCCTGTACTGCTGACACCTGGCATTCCAATTTGTTTAGTCAAAATCTAGAGTGCTGAATTAATGAGTTCTCTGGTGATAAATACTGTCACCCCCAGCTACCTTAATAAAGTACAAATATTTCTGTGCTATGTAAAACAAGAACCCCCCCAACGCAGTCCACCCTGTTCTTACACAAATATAAGGAGAAAACCTTTTTTTTTAACTGTAAAGTTTTCATAATTGGTTATTAACAGCTCTTCTCTGCGGTGTTACAAGAGCGTTGAGAATAACAGCATGTTTTCCTCATGCCCTAGAGTGTAATCTGAGAAATACATAAAGAACTCTAAACCATTTATCTTGTTAGCTTTCTTCTGAAATGTCTCTTAGGACAAATGTATGTTTATTCCTACCACAAAACAGCTGAAAATAATGGTGATTTAAAGAGAGAGGCTTTTCAGATCAACAGGTGTAGCAGAGACATACATGATTTTAAAAAAAGTATTTACTTGAATTAAATTCATTATTCTAATAGATCATCTTCTTTTATGAACAGTCTTTTTGAACCTCAGAAACGGGGCATTTCTGTTCTCATGTCTTCCACTTTTAGTACTAAAAACAGCAAGTGGATGATAACATTAACAGAATCATATGGGGAATAAATGGTGGATGCAGGAAGAGTGGTGTCTCTGACATGCCTTTCAATTCCAAAATACTAAACTGTCGATGTGAGCCATGTTATGATGTACCATAGTGTGGAAATCTTTCTGGCAAGTGTGATACCTGTTAATACTGTTAATGAATTAATAATTAAGATATTACACCTGTTAACATCTGCTACCTTAGTTAATGGGGGCTCCAAAATTCGTCGTCCTCCTCCTCCTTAGGCTACTCTAAGGGCATGCAACATACAATGTACCTAGTCCAAACCATTTGCACAACATGATGCTCAGGATTTCAATCATATCTAACCTTGTTTGATTTCAGATCCCTACATTACACTGTAAGAATTGGTTCCATTTTAACCATCCATCACAGTCCAGATGCAGTGAGGAGCTATATGGGAGTCCTGTCAATCTGGGTAAGTGAGAAACATGGACAGGAAGGTACCTCCAAAATACAGGAGACAGGAAAGTAAAGTTCTCTGTTCCCTCTTTTGGCTTCCAGTATCTCTGGGAATCTGCCTTTAGCAGCAGTGCCTCTCAAATTAAAAAAAAAAACAAACAACCTGCCATAAGCACTTAAAAAGTTAATAAAAGATTTCACACATTTCTGAGTAGAAAATAGGCAGCAAACGTCTCAGAACCTGCATTCCTTAAGATTGCTAAAGAAAGGTGAAAAAGGAAGAAAGCAATTTCTTACATGTCATTTCACATGTTCTTCCATCCTCCTGGTAGTATTTGTCATATACTTTAATATAAGCTTTGGCTATGTTTGTTTGGGTTTTTTTTTTGCTGATTAATATTCCATTTATTTAAATGATGTAATGTATCAATTGTAGCTTATGAAAAGTAAGTTGAAGTAAGGCTACCTATACCCTGCAGTTCAGTATATTTGTATTTTGTTAATGTATTTAAAAATTCTTTTGTTGAAATGTCAAGTATTTCACTCATACCTGGAACAGATACTCCATATACAATAACTTCCTGAACACAGTCAATCAGTCCTAAAACATCTTCAACTTCAGTTGTAGAAACATTTTCCCCTTTCCACCTAGAAAATAAGCAGTTGATAGTCATGATTTTTATGTGTATCACAGAGACCTCCAGTGTTTTAATGTTGAACTTTACAACAGGCTGACCACTGAGCTTGAGATCAGAAAGCACTTTTGTGCTAAAATAAGGAACTTCTTACCAGAAGTAGAGAAAAACATGCCAAAAATTCAACAATGCATTCCAGATTATTTGAATCTCATAAAAATTTAACACACTTAGTTTGATCATGCTTAAAATGACTCTAACCAAATAACTCCCCAAAATATTACTTATCTTTGATTCCATCCTAGGCGCTATGCTTTCTGAGTTTTAAAAGCATAGTGAATGTGAAACCACAATGGTGGTGTCCTGTGAATGCAGATGGTTTCTGACTGTTGAAAACCAGCATTCATTCATCAACCTAAGCAGAACCTCCTGTAGGCTCTGTAGGTAACTGAATGCAACTGATAAAACACAACACTGGAGGTGACCTGCAGTCCTCTCTTTTTCTGACTGAAATAAGAGAAATTTTCTATCTGTCTATAGGAAATACTGGGTATGGGAGAGATTGTCAAAAATTTCTCTTATGACCAACACTGAAATAAATAAACTAACCGGAATGTGTCTCCAATTCGATCATGGAAATAAATGAAGTTATCATTATCGATCACTAAAAGGTCGCCGCTATTAAAATATAAATCCCCTTTTTGAAAGACATCTCTTAATTGCTTCTTCTCTGTTTGCTGTTTTGCTCCTGCATAGCCACTAAATGGTGCATATTGGGTGATTTTGCAGATTAGTAGTCCAGGTTTACCTATGAAGAGGTTAAAGGTTTTTAAACACCCGTTTAAAAAGCACAGTGTCAATCATCAAAAAATAACAAATCTTCATTACATCAGTAAAGTTTGCAGATGTTACAGAGTTATTTGAGAACTTTGTCATAATCATCATCTTTTATAAAATCAGTTATGGAGGTACAGATTGAGTTTCACCTTGTCCTCTCAATTCACTATCCCTCAAAGTGCCAGTAGATAATACAGCTTGTCACCTGCTTGTATTAACACAGCAG